GCATAACGATATCTGTCGGGGTACAATAGATCCTTAGGATCGCGGTGCAAGGTTGGTTGGTCCGCCTACCCGATATGTAGTCTATTTAATGTAATGTAATGTATTGATAATAATAAAAATCTTTTCTATATCTGCGATCAGATGAATTATATCTTTATGGAAAGATTTCTTGAAACCAAATGTAAGAAAACTGAAATTATCACCCAATGATAATCGATTAACAATATTGTTTGGAACCTGTTTTTTGGTTAAATTTATCACTCTATTCGTTGTTATATTTCTTTAATACATCCGAGTCGAAGTCAAAAATATTTTTGGATTTTAAGTTGTTATTTTTATTAACTTTAAGAAAATTAGGTAATCTGATCCTATCTTTTCTACTTTTAACTACATTAAAATGCTTGTGTATAATTTGGGGTATTTTTCTTTTACTAAACTTGTTAATAATTCTTTTAAAAAATTCCTCTATTCTGGTAAAAATATTAACTTTTAAATTTGTTGGTAACATTTCAATAATACATTCATCCACGACTTAGAACTTTACAGGGTTCTGGCCGAAATAAAAATTTGAAAATTCAGATTTAAGTGTTATTAATTACGTTCTCTTCGACTAAAATATTTTCAGATTTCTAGCACTTCCGGTTATACCGAAAGTCGCCACCTACTTTATTTTTTTAAATAAAACCCTATATATTTTTACATATTTGAATTTGTCTGTTTTCAAGATTTATGAATAACTTTACTTTTTGCAATTTGATTCGGCCGTTCTAGAGCTATTCGTATTTTTCTAGAAAAATCTGCTCCAGCGGACATTTGTTCAAAAAATCAGAGAACACTCGATTTAAAAAAAAAAAAAGAACAAGACCAAGAGAAAAAGAAATAGTGCAATCACGAGGCAAAGATTCAGTTATATACCAATTGATTTTCAATCCAAACCTTGACAATTATTAGAGAGATATGAAATACATCATAATCCTTAACTCTACAAAAAACAAAAAAAAAACAAAAAAAAATATCTTAAATAAAGTAAAGAAATATTCGCAGCAAAACTGTGATTCACCGGTCTCTGTCAGAAATAGTAGTCACCTGCTCTCTAAGTGCCCTCAAATGTTTTTTAAAACAATTAACACCGAGATCACCAATGCTCCCGTGTGACTTATATACAGGGTGTCACACAGAAAACGCCCCAAGCTGTAACTCTGTCATTTACGTTCCGATTATAATGAGCCAGGTATCAAATGAAATGGTTTGATAAATACTATGATTCATGCTACAAATAATTTTTTTCCACATCTTGAATTTCAAACGAATATGAACTTTTGTTTTTCAAATTGCACCGTATATTTTTTGTCACGTCATTAGATAGAGATTTTTTTGCTGAATCCAATGATGTACAGTACATCCATTTTGAATGTAATTTGAGCAGAGAAAAGACACCCTGTATATAGAGGTTATCACACAAGAATGCCACAAGCTGTAATTCCGTCATTTACAATCCGATTTTCACGCATTATGAGGAGTAGCACCGTCCTGTTGAAAATATGTTTCATGCAGTCCCGCAAATGGTAATTCATCGAAACAATTTTCAACATCTTCACTTAATAGTTGGTGATATTTTTGCTGATTTAAGGAACCATCGATAAAGAACGGCCCAATCAAGCAGTCTCCAAGTAGGCCACACCAAACATTGCAGCTAAAACGACGTTGATGGTTATTGTCGATGACCAATCTAGGATTTTCTTGGCTCCAACGGCGGTGAATGTTGCGGTTAAAAATTCCATTATTAGTGAAAGTACACTCATCTGTCCAAATAATTTTAGAATAAAATAACGGATCTTGTTGCAATTTTGTTAAGTAAAAATTACAAAATTGAAACCTTCGGATCGGATCATTTCCATCTATTGCTTGCACCTTGTGAGCAATATACGGCTTAAATTTGTGTTTTTTAAGCACTGCACATGCAGTACTTCGAGACGTATCAATAATGTTCGCAACTTCACGAACAGAAGTTTTGGCGTTTTCTTCAACAGCTAACAAAACGTCCAGTTCCACATTTTCAGAAAATTTTCTCTGCACTACCTTCGGTTTCTTGAAACTTCCAAATCTTCTTAAATTTTCTTCAATTCGGCTAAATTTACGACGGTTTGGAACATCTCTTTCCGGAAAACGTTCCATGTAAAGTCGCAATGCCTGACTACTGTTTTTACTACATTCAAAATAAACTTGTAGCATGTCAGTAAGTTCACTGAAATTCATGATATCTTTAAAAAACGTCGAGTTATACTTATTAAAAATGTCACTAATAATTTGTAATGACAGTTATAAGTTGTTTTTTATTTTTTTCCATGGCACACTACATTATAACGCATGTT